CTCTTGAGAAATTAAGTCTTTTGAATCAAATTACCAAAAGCATATATTTGTTTTCCCTTAGCACTACGGCACTCTCTAAACATTAGATATGTTTAGATTTTGAGAGTTTGCACATTTATTTCTACACTGCTGGGAGTAGAAGCAGGCATGAACTGTCAAGAGCAATTCTAGATGAAAGGTCAAAGTAAAGAAGAAACTAGTATCTGTTTTGGCAAAATGCATTTTGCTCTCTAGCAATGGTAGCACAAGACTCTACCCAGTGGTTCAATAACTCACTTCTCTAGCAGTTCTGCATGAAATGCACTGGCCTGGCAGGAAGCAGAGCCTTCATTACAAAGTGTTTCAAATCATATGCCTAAAGGCAGAGCTGAGATATTTCACTTATGCCCTGCCTAAGCATATTAGGAAAGCATCCACTGAAACAGGTGCTGAAAGAATTCCTCTCCTTTTTAAGGAAGTGTAGAAAAAGGGCTTTCACACTAAAATGGCTTGAAACTAACTYGGTCTTGTTTTCTGAACTTCCGCAATAAACATGAAGCCCTGAATCAGAGTCATGAAAAAAAACCTGCATAGACTCTCTGAGAGCATTCCAGAGTTGCACACACTCCTRGACCATTGCTAATTTTTAGAGGCTGAGAGCAGAACTGTAAGATGGTCATAAATAACTCTTTCTAAACAATTGGTATTCTGATTCATGAACACTCCATTCACACAGTAGTCTTATAAAGACTTATACTTTTACTATCAAATTAATTCACTAAATTCTATCCAGAGACCTTGGGGGCAAAGCAGTTGTCTGAATCTAGATCAGGTGAGTAGAAAACACCAGTCCCAAAATTGCAACTGTCACAAATAAAGAGCTAGATAAAGTCTGTGCTTCTATCAGACAGATGACTCAGTCCATCTGTCAGTTACTTAAGAACAAGTAAATTAACCTGAATTCTTGTACCCTCCCCCCCCCCCAAAAAAAGCCTATCTACACCTCCAATTTCACTCAATATATGGGCATTTTTAGGTATTTGTTTCAGTTGTGTGTACCAAGTCTAATTTAAGCGCCTGTTTACACTCCTAACATTTTGTCAAGTTTTATCCAAATTAAGCTTTCTATTTCAAATGTTATTGGAACAAGTATTAACTACKATAGCAAAGGCAAAATTCTAAAATATTACTCTGTATGTTGATGTATCAYGTATTGAAAGGTAGTAATGGTATCTCAACAGCCCAATTGAATGGATACACAAGTACAAGTATTATTATTTTTGCCTTGGGCTTTCACTAATGTATTAAGGAAAAAAAAAAA